CATATCCTTCGCCCACTTTTTGATGGGGTTGTTTGATTTTTTTCTTGTAAATTTGTTTGAGTTCTTTGTAGATTCTGGATATTAGCCCTTTGTCAGATGGGTAGGTTGTAAAAATTTTCTCCCATTCAGTAGATTGCCTGTTCACTCTGATGGTAGTTTCTTTTGCTGTGCAGAAGCTCTTTAGTTTAATTAGATACCATTTGTCAATTTCAACTTTTGTTGCTGTTGCTTTTGGTGTTTTAGTCATGAAGTCATTGCCCCGACTATGTCCTGAATGGTATTGCCTAGGTTTTCTTTTATGGTTTTTGTGGTTTAGGTCAAACATTTAAGTCTTTAATCCATCTTGAATTAATTTTTGTATAAGGTGTAAGGAAGGGATCCAGTTTCAGCTTTCTACATATGGCTAACCACTTTTCCCAGCATCATTTATTAAATAGGGAATCCTTTCCCCATTTCTTGTTTTTGACATGTTTGTCAAAGATCAGATGGTTGTAGATGTGTGGTATTATTTCTGAGGGCTCTATTCTGTTCCATTGGTCTATATCTCTGTTTTGGTACCAGTAGCATGCTGTTTTGGTTACTGTAGCTTTGTAGTATAGTTTGAAGTCAGGTAGTGTGATGCCTCCAGCTTTGTTCTTTTGGCTTAGGATTGTCTTGGCAATGTGGTCTCTTTTTTGGTTCCATAGGAACTTTAAAGTAGTTTTTTCCAATTCTGTGAAGAAAGTCATTGGTAACTTGATGGGGATGGCGTTGAATCTGTAAATTACCTTGGGCATTACAGCCATTTTTGTGATATTGATTCTTCGTATCCATGAATATGGAATGTTCTTCCATTTGTTTGTGTCCTCTTTTATTTCATTGAGCAATGGTTTGTAGTTCTTGAAGAGGTCCTTCACATCCCTTGTAGGTTGGATTCCTAGGTATTTTATTCTCTTTTAAGCAATTGTGAATGGGAGTTCACTCATTATTTGGCTCTCTGTTTGTCTGTTATTGGTGTATAGGAATGCTTGTGATTTTTGCACATTGATTTTGTACCTGAGACTTTGCTGACGTTGCTTATCAGCTTAAGGAGTATTTGGACTGAGACTATGGAGTTTTCCCAATATAGAATCATGTCATCTGCAAACAGAGATAATTTGACTTCCTCTCTTCCTATTTGAATACTTTTTTTCTTTCTCTTGCCTAATTGCCATGGCCAGAACTTCCAACTTTGCTTTAAAAAAGCAAAAAACCTTATGCTTATCTAAGGTTTACAGGCTTCATTTTCTGAGAGGCTGCAATTTTACATAAAATGAAATTACCATGAAATAATATCACCATAAAATGAAAGCTACTGACCTCAGCAGTGTAGGATGTGAGTAGAGCACAAGTTACAGAAGGCAAGAAAGGGGATAAAAATCACAGAGTCCCCTGGTCGCTAAAGTACACTTTGGAGAATATGCCCACTGTTTGTCATGTAGTAGACACTCACAAATATGTGCTGAATGGAAGAGGTGCAAGGCATGAATTAACTGTTAAGGCAAGAATTGAATACACTAAATGTATCATTATATAATTGCTGTTTTGTTTTCCCCACTGCTCTGAAGACTCTGTATTTTTATTTTTCAATGCATTAAGTGAGACATACTGTAGGCCATCAAAAAATAGTTATTACGTTCAATTAAAAAATGATCACATTTAAAAAGGATAGAAGAAAAGATAAGTGAAGGGATGGCAGAGTTTGGGTAATTATTACTGCTATTTGCCAATACGTTTGGTCCTCTTCTTACTGGAAATACGGTAGATTTTACTTTCTGATCCCTGGAAGCCAGGCATGAGTTTGACCTTTAAAATACGGCAGATGAAGCATGTCACTTTTGGAGCCAGCTTTAAGAGCTAAGGTATGATTCTTCCACGTGGTTTTCCTGGACTATGTCAAGCAGCACTGCTCCATATGGAGGAGGCTGCATCTCTGGCTGCAGGCAAATCAAGCAGCGCAGGACATTTAGTGTGAGCAGGAAATTAATCAGGAAAGACAAAAATCAAGCAAGACATTTAATGTGAACAAAGAATCAATCTTTACTGCTTTAAATGATTTTTTAAAAGTAGGGGTTACTTGTTACTATAACATTACATAACCCATCCTGAATAATAGAAAATAGTAAGAGAGTGTCTTTGGCAGTGGGATTATAGGGGCCTTTTCTTTTATTTTTTCTTATCTTCTTGTATCATCTAATTTTTCAAATAATGTTTTTATCTATTTTTTACTTTTGTAGAATGTGTATAATTTATAATAAGGAAACAAAATTAACTTAAACTGGGAGGCAGACACATTTTTATGATTCGAATTGTTTAAAATTTGAAATGACGTTATATTTTTATTGACAAATGTATAAAAGTACAGGATTTATGCCATTTTCTTGAACTTAGAGTATGTTGGTGTATGCTCTTTCGTCACCAAGAACACTGAAAAACAAAGTGTTACACTGTCATTGAACCAAGGCCTATGATCTTGAGATACAGCTGTTCTAGCCCCCTAAGAAATGCTCTTCCAGGAGAGTGGTAGGCCTCTTGGGGTTCTGGGAGACTTGTGTGTGACTGACAACTTCCCTTTGTCTGCAGTTGACTGATGTGATCAGGCAGAGGCAACCAATAATGATGTGTTGACCATGAGAAGGGTGTTTGCTGATTTTGCCTTTCCTCACCTTCCCCTCTGCACAACACACACACACACACACACACATACACACACACACACACTAGCATGGCTGGGCTCATTCAAGAAGACCCAGAACATGTGTACATTGCCTGTATCAGACAGGAGGGCCTTTCATGTGAATTGTATAGGAGGTACCTGAATAAAAGTGATTCTGTTTCTACTCTGGTGCAAACTCAGAACTTCAAGACACAGGGTTCACATGTGTTTGTCTGCACATATTCACTGGATGACTTGAGTGAGATGAATAAAAGCCCATGCCTTCAATCTGGCAGAATCCTCAACCAGGGATAACGTAGAGAGTAATTACAGAGTCTCAGCACTATAATTTTCTTTCAACCTCCCCTGTCACAATCAGAAGATAGTTTTTGATGTCTTTGATGATTGAGGCTTCATAAACTAAAACTTAGAATGTCTAGATATTTTTAAAAGGTTAATATTTTGCAACTTTGCCTACTCTCAATATTATTTAGAGTTTCCTTCCACTTTATTAACCTAGAACTATATAACACAATGGACCATCGATAGAAATAAACCTCTTATTGGTCCCACTAGAAAAGATAGTAAAGCCCTGGTTTTATAAATAAGTGCTTTACTCCTATTCTTCTTCTATGACCCCTAAGAACCACATTTAGTACGTGACATAATGAATTCTACTTCTGAATAAGAAGTTAAAAGGAGCCAAAAGATGTGATGATAGTGAATAGCACTTATTATAAAGGAAACACTTTTGGGAATAGTCTCTTTTTTTAAGGAATCATAAAACTTTTAGATCCTAAACTATACCTAGAGGAAAAAAGAGAACCTTATTAAGAACCTTTACATTTCTCAAATTAGTTTTGGAATAACAAGTTAGTATAAATGATGTCTCTAGCCCTATACTTGTTAAGTTTTTGAAAATAAAAGAAACAAAACAAAATATATATACATATTCTGAAAGCAAAGGCCTTTTACTGTTATTGTCCAGTTTAGCCTTCAAAATATTTAATTCCTTTCTACTCTAAAATGTCTAGGTAGAGGGAAAAATTATTTTTAAAGTTTTTCAAATGTCAACCCTAAGTGCAGTTCCATGCACTTACATTGGAAACTAGGTCTTGGCATGGAAGATGCCTAGGGATCCTGTAGACTCAAAGGGTTCTGAAAAAAATTTAATAACCTTTTTTCCTTGTTACTAAAAAAGACCCGGGTGAGGCATCTCATACACCCGCAGGGAACAGCTAGATGCTGAACCATTTGCTCCACCAGCCAGACTCCCTCGGCTTTCATCTCATCTTGCTAACATTTTACAAAGATGTTTGTCGCAATGAAATTGATAGCAAACTTACAATTCATACAGCGTTTAGAGGTTCCTTCTTTTTTAATTCTATTAACTGAGATGAACCCAATCTACTGAAGTCATTCATCGGGAGATCTCAGGACCTGGTCTTATACGACTAGCTCAGACTTTCTGGCCATGGTCCCTTGTTCCATAGATCTAATTAGCACTGAGAGCAGCTTCCTAGCATCTAAAACATAAGCTGATCTGGGTTCTAATGCCCTGATCTGGATTCTAAATTTGGAATCATTTTTCTTAAATGCTCTTCCTTCCTATTATTTACGAAATGGGTTGATCTGCAGAAAAGGGTGTTCATATTCCCTCAACTAGGAGAATCAACTAGCCCATTAATCAGCAAGTATTTTTTCCCTGGGACTTACTATGTGCCCCAGGGTGGACTGGAGCTAGTACTGCAATCTGTGAAAAAGTTGTTATAACCTTGTTAGAATTTGGTTGATTCCACATAGCTCCATCTCCTAAGAGCCTTTGAAATCCTTTTGCAACTACTTCCTGCACAGCCAGCACTCACTCACCCAGAAAGTACAGTTACTGTCATGATTAAGCCTGTGGAGAGGGTGGGAGTGGGAGAGTGGAAATGAGGGTAAAGAGAGAGATCTTGTGCTGGGAGCCTGGCAGACTTGGTTACCTAATGCAATGAAGAATTCAGATTCCCCCCACTCTCCAGGCTACACGAGCTTCTGTGCCACGTAGAAGGTCATGTAATTGTGATTTGAAAAAGACAGGCCTGGAACCCATGCACAATTTTAAAGTTATGCATGGAGTCAAAGGGTGAGAAGGGAGGCAAGGGGAATAAAGACATCCTTAACAACTAGTGTGTTAAGTGAGTGTGTTTTCTTCCTCTCCTTATCCTGAAGCTAGAGCTTCTACCAGGCAGGAAAAACAGGTTGTTCTTTGGGGCATTGGTCCTGCTGGTGCAGTCTAACAAAGGGTGCTTACTAATTTATGTGCATTTCTCTCTTTCTGCCCCAGGACAGCTTTCCTGCCCGCTTTGGAGGAGTCCACTTTGTCAACCAGCCCTGGTACATTCATGCCCTCTACACACTCATCAAGCCATTTCTTAAAGACAAGACCAGAAAACGGGTAATGAAAACAAATACTTGATGTAAATTTTAAACAGGGAATGCCTGGGACAATTATGGTGCTTCTGTTTTCTCTCTCCCCTCCTCCCTCCTTTCCCCGGATTTTTTTTCTCTCTCTATCTTTCACTGTGGTTTTTCTACAGCCCCTAAGCATTTGAGCCTCAGCTGGAGATTGCAAATGGTCTGGGTTTAATTAATAATTCAGTAGAACTGGGTTATTTTCGGAGTCCCAGTGACAAACCAAAAGAAACTTTGAAGGCATGCAAATATCAGATGCCCATTTTACTGTAAATTCTTATGGGAGCTAAGAATTATGGGTCCAGCAGCTTTCCTGTTCATAAAATATTTTAGTACCTAGCATTTTGTTCTGCAAACGTATTAGTGTTATGAAGAATGATTACAATTTTTCTTCCCTTCCATGGCTTTGGGTGATAACTGCTAACTCCATCACCTGTAAAGTTGGAAAAGCATTCTTCTTTGGAAATAACAATGCTCTTATGAGGAAGGCTTTTACAGTCTTAATTATATCAGTTGATAACACTTGAGAAGCCAGTTTTTTCCATCAATCAGAGTTGGGCTTTTTCATGGCATTTTGATGAGCAGAGTAATTGAACATTCCTTAACCACTCTGAATCTCAATTTTCTCATTTATAAATTGGGGAAACTAACACCCACATCACAGAGTTGTTGGGGAAATCTAATGGGACAGCTTATGAAAACATGTATCGTGATGCAGTTGGTACCTCAGGAGACTTGGTGACTTTTATTTATCTTTATGATTTAGCTCTCTTTTCTTTTTTCCCCAATGTTATTGGGTATAATTGACAACTAAAAATTGGATATATTTAAGGTGTTCAATGTGATGTTTTTATATACCTATGCATTGTGAAATGATTACCACAATCAAGCTACTAACACATCTATCAACTCCTGTAGTTGTGATTTGTGTGTGTGTGTGTGTGTGGTGAGAATACTTAAGATCTACTCTCTCAGCCAATTTCAAATAAACAATATAATATTATTACTATTACAGTTTCCATACTGTACATTAGGTCTCCAGAATCTATTCTCATCCTATATAACTGAAACTTTGTCCTCTTTGTCCAACATCTCTCCATTTCCCCCTACTCTCAGCTCCTGGCAACCACCCTTCTACTCTATACTTCTATGATTTCAACTCATTTAGATTCCACATGTAAGTGTGGTCATGCAGTATTTGTTTTTCTATGTCTGGCATATTTTTGTTAACATAATGTGCTTTAGGTTCATCCACATTGTTGAAAATGACAGGATTTCATTCTTCTTTAAGGCTGCATAGTATTCCACTGGGTATATATCCATTCATCTGTTAATGGGCACTTAGGTTGTACCCATATCTTGTCTATTATGAATAATGCTACAGTCTTATCTTTGAGACTTTCTGATTTCAGCTGCCTCCTGGGTCAGGAACACCATTCCTCATGGGAACCTGACTAGGGTAATCCTACAGCACCTTCTGACACCCAAGGTACCTGACACTGGGGAAGAAGTCTGAGTATTCTGGAGTGACTGATAATGTGAGGGATTCCCCGCCATCTCCCACACTTTGCTGGGTTTCTAACTCCTGGACCTCAGATGCTTCCAGGTTCTTAGAGAGCATTGCAGTGGGGTAGGGCAGGGGTAATTTCCCTGTTCTTAAACAAGTTTGAAACCAGGAATTAGAACTTACTGGAATAAGGAGGCAGAAAAGTTTTAAAACCCATCTGGGGCTCAGGACAGTGCTAAGAACAGAGAAGTGTTCTAGGACTGTTCTCAACATGGCTTCAGGCTTTCCAGCAACTATTCTTCTATTCAGGTTGGAACCACAGAGAATTCCTCCCACGGTGGACACTTGCTGCCATGCCATAGGAGGGCATTTTTGGAGCTTTGAGCACAGGATAGATTCTAACAGGTAGAGGGTCCAGCCTCCTACTTCTGCGTTCCTCCATTCCAGAAGACCCCAAGAAGGGAGGGTCACTTTTAATAGCACTATTTGTCTTCCAAAAACTGGACATGTTGGGTGGAGGGGTGGAAATGTTTTCTCTAAACACCAGGGCTGATACTTTGCTCCAGCACGTTTCATATACAGCACCCTCTGAAAAGTTTTATAAAAGCCAGAAAAGTGACTTTCTTCAAAAGAAATAATTCTTATTAAAATTCGGTCATACTCAATGCAATATCAGAAATTTTGATGTTTTGATATGCTTTCTGAAGTGCTCCAGTAGTCTTCTGAAAAATTAGCACTTCTTGTCCCTTTCATGTTTAAATGATGTCATTACATCATAAGTTAAAATCAATACAATAGAACAAGGTAGCAAGTGTTTATTATTGAGGTCCTCTATTTAAGTATTTTAAAAATCACTCACACGCACACGCGCGTGCACGCGCGCGCACACACACACATATATATGTATTTTTTCCAAGACGGAGTCTTGTTCTGTTGCTCAGGCTGGAGTGCAGTGGCATGATGTCAGTTCACTGCAACCTCCACCTCCTGGGTTCAAGCGATTCTCCTTCCCCAGCCTCCCGAGTAGCTGGGATTACAGGCGTGCGCCACCATGCCCAGCTAAATTTGTATTTTTTGTAGAGACGGGGTTTCACCATGTTAGCCAGGCTGGTCTCGAACTCTTGACCTCAGTTGATCTGCCCGCCTCAGCCTCTCAAAGTGCTGGGATTACAGGCATGAGCCACTGCGCCTGACCCACGTTTATATTTCATCATGGTTATACTGTATGTGTATGTGCATGCAAGTGTGTGTACTTGATGATCGTATACTTGGTGTACCTCATGTGTTACACATAATGCCTTCATGCCTGCCACATGAAGAAGTATGGGAACTGACATCAGTACATAGATGCACTTTAAGTCACCTTTCAGAGTCAACTCCTAAATTGCAGTCAATGCTAATTATCTATTCATGGCTCGTTCACTTTGTGGATTTATCTGGAAATAATTGTAACTTGGAGGTGTGGATTCTCTCCTGGTTGACCAATTTTTATCACTATTTATTGTATGTTCAGAAGATGCAAACTTGTTTGGACTTTAGTCCCCAATCCAGACAAAAATGGAAATTGCTGCAAAAATATCTCACAATAAATTCTTAGGCTGTGGTTTTTGATTCCATTAAGTAAGAATCGATTTTCTTCTACCTTGTGCCCACATCACCCTAGGAGCTAAGAAGCATTTTAAAGGAGTAAGAAAACACCAACTTTTTCTCTAGATACTTTCCCCCTGTGGGAAAAATAAAAATAAAATAAACAGAAGTCAGCAGTCAGCAGATACTGAAGGATTAATTGGAAGGTGGTTGGAAAGAAGCAGAATAGGCAGCTATAACCAGGATGAGTTAGGAAGAAGCCGCAACTTTGTCTAGGATGGGGAACGGGGGAAGGATCTGGAGGACTGGGTGAGAGCACACAGATGGGAGAACAGAGCAGTCTGGAGATCCAGCAATAGCTGGGGTTTCAGGTGGTCTGCACCATCACTCCTTTTACCAACAGGGATAATTAGTAGATGACTACATGTATAAATTTGGCCCACGGCCAAGTAACACTCAATTTGTTCATAAACTTCATTTTTAATGACTATTAATTCAGCCTCTTTTCTAAGCAATACATTAACATTTTATGAAGACTAAGCTGCAGTCACAAAATCAATGCCTCTTTAAGCACCATGATCACCAGCAGTGCATCCAATTTATCATTGCTAAATTGTGTATTAGATGAAATCCTTGGTTGTATGTTTTGGATTTTGTATTGCTAATTACCTTTTTTTTTCTTTACAGATTTTCCTGCATGGAAACAATTTAAACAGCCTTCACCAGCTAATACACCCTGAATTTTTGCCCTCTGAGTTTGGAGGAACTCTTCCTCCTTATGACATGGGAACTTGGGCCCGGACGTTACTCGGTCCTGACTACAGCGATGAAAATGACTATACTCACACATCCTATAATGCAATGCATGTGAAGCATACATCCTCAAATCTGGAGAGAGAATGCTCACCCAAGCTGATGAAAAGGTAAGGCCTGGGTTATCAGAGTCCCCGGAGTCAGAGGTCAATGGAATTTTTTATTTGGACCTATTGTGAATTATTAATTAAAGACCTTTGTGGGCACAGAACTTGAATAAAATAAACTGCAATGCATTCTCAGCTGATTTCACTAAAATTGAAAACAAATGGGGCTTGGCTGGTTCAGAAATACAGTTGTCCCAATTGTATCAAAGGAATAGTTAAAGGCTAGGACCTCACTCATGCCACAATTATAGCCCTGGTCTTTAGGGAGTTTGTTAATATACACAGAATAAAATGTTGGACCTTTGAGATACACTAGATGGAAAAACAAACTGCTAGAAAGTGTTCCTATCATTCATTTATTTGGAACCATTTATTGAGCATTTATTTGGCTGCAGCACCAATTAGGGACTGGGGGCACAAATGAGAATAAGATGTCAAAAGAACAGAGAAGTATGCCTCAGGGAATCTTCCAAGTAAGACTTTTGCAGCGTATTTATAAAGCAGGTGACATTCAGTATGAGCTCTGGAGACCAGCATCCCAGGCTTGGGAAATGGCATATAGCAATCCAGCAGAGGGGACAGACTGAGGCATATAGGCATTAGAATGATGGAATAATCTGTGCGGTATAAGGGAGTGCAAGAGTGGGAGATGGGACTGGACATGAAATAAAGCTCCAAAAACAGTTGGATCCAGGTGGTGAAGACCATTGCATACTATAGTCAATGGAGTGCCATGAAAGAGAGATTTTAAAAAAAATGATAAATGAGTATTTTGTCATTTATAAAAATTAAAACCTGATTTTTTAAAAGAATTTATTTTATTTTTCCATAAGTTATTGGGGTACAGGTGGTATTTAGTTACATGGGTGAGTTCTTTAGTGGTGATTTGTGAGATCCTCGTGCACCCATCACTCGAGCAGTATACACTGCACCATATATGTTGTCTTTTATCCTTCACCCTCCTCCTACTCTTCCCCTCAGTCCCCAAAGTCCATTGCATTATTCTCATACCTTTGCATCCTCATAGCTTAGCTCACATATTGGTGAGAACATACGATGTAAAACCTGACTTTTAAGACTAAAATCCCCTTCAGCCACTATTTTCAATCTCAGTCTCAATTCCATTCCCTCCCAAATGGTAACCACTGTAGAGGTGGGCCCTTGTAATTCTGCTTTCCGTACATCACATGCGTCTATACACATCCATAAAAAACATCTAACATTGGTTAATTTCTAGGGCTGCTGTAATAAAGTACTACAGACTGGGTGGTTTAAACAACAGAAATTTATTTTCTTACAGTTCTGGAGGTTGAAAGGGTAAGATCAAGGTGTTGGCAAGGCTGGTTTCTCCTGAGGCCTCTCTCCTTGGCTTGCACATGGCTGCCTTCTCCATGTGTTCTTACATGGTTTTCCTTCTGTGTGTGTCTGCCTCTGTCCTAACCTCCTTTTCTTAGAAGGACACCTGTCATATTGAATTATGGCCAACCCATAGAACCTCATTTTGCCTTAATTGCTTCTTTAAAAGTCCTATGTCCAAATACAATCATATTCTGAGGTACTTCAACATATGAAATTGGAGATGAGGGAGACTTCAGCCCATAGCATATTGTTATGTAAAGTTTTTCCATGTCAGTATATTTAGACATATGAAGAGACTTGAAAATATTTGTGGAAAAATAAAATTGAAAGATAAAAATTCAAAATATAAACTTATATGGCTCAAGGACATCAGTTCATGTATGTGTGTATATGTATTAAGTATATATAAAAACACCTTATTTTTTAGCCTAAGTTCCATCAAGTTCAAGACACTTTTGTGAGTAACAATACCAACCATTTAGTTTATCCCTAAATAACTGGGGGTCCTAGGAACTTAGCCATGTCGAAGTGGTCTTTTTCACATTAGATGAACAAAAATGGATGCCCTTGAAATATTATTAAGATTAGAAAACAAAAAGAAGTCAGAAGGAGCCAAATCAGGACTGAAAGGTAGTTGCCTAATAATTTCCTATTGAAATTCTCATAAACTTGCCCATGTTTGATGAGAGAAATGAGCAGGAACGTTGTCATGGTGCAGAAGGACTCTCTGGGAAAGATTTCCCAGGAATTTTTCAGCTAAAGCTTTGGCTAACTTTCTCAAAACACTCTCATGATAAACAGATATTGTTGTTCTTTGGCCCTTCAGAAAGTCGACAAGCAAAATGCTTGGACCAGCCCAAAAAACTGTTGCCAAGACTTTTGCTCTTGACTGGCCCACTTTTACTTTGATGAGAGCACTGCCACCTCTTGGTAACCATTGCTTTGCTTGTGCTTTGTCTTTAGGATTGCACTGGTAAAACCGTTTTTCATCTCCTATTACAGTTCTTCAAAGAAATGCTTCAGAATCTTGATCCCACATGTTTAAAATTTCCATTGAAAGCTCTGCTCTTGTCTGTTCCTGATTTGAGCACAATGGTTTTGGCACTCAATTGGAAAGTTTGTTCAACTTTAATTTTGCAATCAGAATTGTGTAAGCTGAACCAGTTGAGTTGTTTGTGGTATTGGCTACTGTTTGTGCTGTTAGTGGTTGGTCTTTTTCAATTAGGGCATGAAGAAGATAAAGTTTTTCCTGGCAAATTAATGTAAAATTGACATGAATTGATGTCTGCAACTGAGGGCTTCACCATCAACTTCGTCTTGTCTCTTCTTAAAATGAGTTATTGCAAACTGCTCATTTCTTTGGGATATTGTCCCCATTAGCTTTTTGTAAAGCGTCAGTGATTTCACAATGTTTTTACCCAACCTTCACCATAAATTTGATGTTTGTTCTTGCTTTAATTTTAGCAGAACTCATGTTTCTCTGATAGAGGTGTTTGTCAAACCCGATGTCTCTGATGTCCTGTCTTCTTAGTGCTTCAAACTAGATTCTGTTCAGGCATGTTATAACAAGTTAGCACAAGTTTATTTTCGTACAAAAATTTTTTGAACTCCATGAATAATTTTGTTATAATATGCATTTTCCATGAACTTTGTGAAGACCCCTCATAGGCCATGTGTTTAATCTATTTTAGAACATGGATATGCCACAGTTTAGCCATCTCCTCATTGTTTTGCATTTGGGTTTTTGTGGTTTTTCCTCTTCTAAATAAGGTTTAATAAATGTCTTTGGTATACCTCCTTCATTTTCCTAGGAAGGTTCCTCCGAGTAGATTCAGAACCCTGTAGTTGGTAGGTATGTGCCTTTAAAGTTTTAGTTCACATTGTTTAAAAGCCCTCCAAATGACACCAACTGATACTTCCAGCTATGTATGAGAACCTTCTTCCCCATACCCTGGAAAAATATTTGATATGATCAGACTTTAATTTTAATGATAATCCTGTGATGGGAAACACTATGTCATTTTGTTTTCATCTTTATTTCTTCAATATACATAGTTTAGCTGAGAAATGACATAATAAGATCTGGGTTTTATAAGTATTATGGGATTAGCAAGGAAATGGTTTGTGCATCAGAGACTAAAAGCCACTAGAAGGCTGATGCAGAGACTTAGTTGGGAAGATGAGAGCCAGAACTAATGCCAAATCAGAGGAAAGCTGGCTCTATTCTATAGATGTTTGGCTGTGGAAAAGGAGGAGTAACATTCATGAGGGTTGGGCTCAACTTCTTCCAAAGTCCTGTTAATGTGGATATTTTGACCTCCTCCCGTGAATCTTGAATGTTCTAGAATGGCATCCAGAATGGTGAATCCTTTCCAGTAAGTTTTCAGTTTACTTTGTCCAGATCCATCAGACAAATCACTATCTATGACAGCTATAGTCTGATGAAATGTATTTATTTATTTTTTTTTGGAGGCTGGAGTGTTGCTCTATCACCCAGGCTGGAGCACAATGGCATGATCTCAGCTCAGCGCGACCTCTGCCTCCCACGTTCAAAGAATTATCATGCCTCAGCCTCCTGAACTGAAATGTATTTCTTAAGTAATAAGATGTGAAAGTCAAATTACTCCTTGATCCATGGACTGCAGAATGGATGGTGTGTTGGGCATGGAAACAACCTTCATCTCCTTGTACATTTCCACCAGAGCCCTTGGGTAACCAGGAGCACTGTCAATAAGTGGTAATATTTTGAAAGAGATCTTTTTTTCTGAGCAGTAGGTCTCATCAGTAGACTTAAAATACTCTCTAAACCATGCTATAAACAGATACACTGTCATTCAAGCTTCATTGTTCTATTTATAATGCACAGGCAGAGTAGATTAATAATTCTTAAGGGCCCTAGGATGCTTAGAGTGGTAAATGAGCATTGGTTTCAACCTAAAGTCACCAGCTGCATTAGCCCCTAACAAGAGAGTCAGTCCGGACTTTGAGGCTTTGAATCCAGGCTTTCACTCTCCTTACTAGCTATGAAAGTCCTAGATGGAAGAAGTCTATTCTTCCAATAGAAGGTTGTTTTGTCATTGAAAATCTGTTGTTTGGTGTAGCCACCTTCATCAATGATCTTTCGTAGATCTTCTGGATAGCTTGCTTCAGCTTCTATATCATCACTTGCTGCTTTACTTTGCACTTTTATGTTGTGGGGATAATTTCTTTCCTTAAGCCTCATGAACCAACCTCTGCTAGCTTCCAATTTTTCTTCTATGGCTTCCTCACCTCTCTCAACCTTCATGAAATTGAAAAGAGTTAGGATCTTGCTCTGAATTAGGCTTTGGCTTAAGGAAATGTTGCGGCTGCTTTGATCATCTGTTCAGACCACTAAAACTTTCTCCATATCAGCAATAAGGTTTTGACATTTGTGTGTTCACTGAAGTAGCACTTTTAATGCACCTTTGCATTCACAACTTGGTTAACTTTTTCATGCAGGAGGCCTAGCTTTCAGACTTTCTGAGCTTTCAGTGTGCCTTCCTCCCCAAGCTTAATCATGTCTAGCTTTTGGTTTAAAATGAGACATGCAACTCTTCCCTTCACTCAAACACTTAGAAGCCGTTGTAAGGTTATTAATTAACCTAGTTGCAATACTGTTTTGT